AAGGTCAGAGTGGTTACCAAAATAAAATAAAATATAAGCATGCAGTCTAAACTCTCAACCCTATTAGACTGGGCAACTTCTAGATTAAGCAGTTTTTCTCACCACACTGGATATTGTAGTCCTTAATATACAGTTTTTTTCCTTAAACCTGGGCCAATCTCCTCTGTTGGAGTCTTGTCTTCTTCTTCTTGCCCAGTATGTGTCCACTCTGTCTGTTTTATACCCTCAGTCCATGTGCTTGGGGAGCACAAGTCCAGGCATGTCTGGGGTGCATTGCTGAGTCTCTCCAAGCAAGGCTGAGCAATTCCCCTGGTGTGGCCTCGTGCAGGTGAGTCATTGCATTGTAGCTCCCTTGCTGGACAACGGCTATTGATGGGTTGTTTGACACCCCACCCGGATGCTGGTTACTTTCCTTGCTCTTGCCTCTGGGAAGCTAATATATGGCTGATTCCCCAACTTACAGCATGTTTTAGTGACCACCATACAACACAATTCTCATAACTTCATATGCATTAATAATACCCATATGTGAATAGATAAATGACTTTCAGCAGATCATAACATTTCCCCATATACCTTACAAGGCATGCTTTACATGTAAGATCATGAACATACGAAAATGAGGAATATGGGGGTTACAGTATGCTCCCCCAAGGTATAGAATGTCACAATGGGGAAACAGGTTTTATAGGAATACTAAAGGATAGCCTTTAAAGGAGGAGCTTGGCAAGGAATGTGACAAGCAAACTATGCTTTTGTGATGAGCAGAGGAAGGGTAAAAGAGCCTGTTGATGGTTGGGCTAGCTGACCTACTAATCTGTGGTATGGGAGGAGAACAGTGGCTGATACAGTGGGGAAAACAATAAGAAAAATATTTGTGGAGGAAATAATTACCAGTAAGTCATTTTGCTTCTGCCAGAACTGGTTTTTAAACAAACCAAAAGAGTTTCAATATTTTTGTAATATTCAGAAGGTGATGGCCATCTGGGAAAAATAAGGTGGTTAGAAATGTAGTGTTGAATTGAAGGGTAGAGTTTTTCTGATCTTCTCCACTGTCTGATGTACTATAGATTTTTTTTTTTGTACCCTTGTTAAATTCCCAAAGCATGCAAAAGGAATAGTGCACATTTTTGAAGTTGACAGTTGTTACAATGGAAGGGCTGGAGCCGAGAGGGATCAGGAAGTAAGGCTGCCAAATAAACAAAAATATCCCTTTCTGTCTCTGCAGTACAATTATTTCAAGGGAAGTCCCCTTCACACGGTGGTGAAAATCATTACAAGAAGATTTACAGTGCATCGCTATTGATCAAACTTTCATCCTAACAGAGATGATTGTTCAAGGTCTGCAAGTCAACTGCAGAATATGAACTTGTGCTAGATGTAACAAGTCATGCATAGTGGACAGCACAGAGTCCTCCACCCGTTTTTTGATCCACATTCAAGAACTTGACTTCAGAGTGCTCTGGATCAGGCCTTTCACATGGCTGTTTGTTTAGTCTCCATAAAAATGAATTCATCGGACTATTGATGCAACACGTACATGAATATCAGAGATCAGGTAGCAGGGGTATTCTCAACTAGGCTGTTCACATGCTAGGCTCACTGGCTGCTTCTCCTAAAATGATCATCATTGTAACAGTTAATAATGTTGCCATTCAAAATGTCATTACTAGCATCAGAGAAAAAAACACTGAGAAAATGGAAGAAGTTCCCACCTCTCAGAGCTAATGGTTCTGATCCTCCTTTGCCCTGCGTTTTGTGCAGTCATTTACTCCAAGACAAAGTGAGTCTAACATACTACCAAACCAGAGCAGTAGGTACATTGTGGCTAGCATTTACACAAATTGCTATGAGGCATGTGTATGTTTGTTTCTTGCCAAAACAAGTGTGCATTTGATGTATTCAGTGGACTGAGCAGGTCAATCTGTGTGTACAGGTCAGATCTGGCAACGCTTTGATTATAGATTTTACAATGGTGAAATGGGGTACTGGCTGGGGATTATCTAACACTTGTTACTACTGATGGCTCTTTTTGTTGTTGTTGATGTCAAGTGATGTTATATTTTTTTTTCCATTGTATGCACCCAATAGTCCTTTGTTTAATGTGTGATTCAGCTTCCCAAAGTAACTATGTAAAAATAGCATCTTCTCATTTGGCAGATCTCCATCCTCTGTGTATTTAACCTTTCTGCTTACTCAGAATAATGACAGTAGTAATAACAAAGTAAGATTTTCCCTTATTTATCACTGAGGGCTCCACAGAACACACATCTTTTGAAGTGCAGCTGGATTTTTTTTCTGGTTTGTGTAGCCACAAACTGATTTACCTAGTTCCAGTTGCAGAGCCACCTGTTGTCTTTATGTCTGTGCAGCCACATCAAAGTCACTTGGCCTGAGGAATCTTGATTAATGGGAGTGGTACCTGAGCCACAGAGAACCCCGCCTGATTTTCAGATCTTAGCCGACCTTCGGAGGGCTGCCAGTTAAGAAAAAAAAATATTCTAAATGAGGGAAAATCTGATGTGGAAATGATTGGGACACAAGTGTGTAGGGTGACCAGACAGAAAGTGTGAAAAATCAGGACAGAAAGTGGGTAATAGGTGCCTATATAAGAAAAAGTATTGAATATTGGAACTGTCCCTATAAAATCGGGATATCTGGTCACCCTACAAGTGTGGAACCCGAGAATGCCATTTTTACCAAGTCACTTCAGAGTAGAACTACACTTTAATCAGAGCTGGCAAAAGTATTGGCATTTGAATTGGCACTACCATTTTTCTTTGTTAACTTCAAAGAGTTCCCAGCAGACATTGCTACATCATATGAGCCATTTACATCCTGGATCCTGCAAACATTTAGATGGAGTTTATTATAAAAGATTACAGAAAAACATTCTACCAGCTTGTATGAGCTTTGGGATCTCTCCTTCCAGTGATGAACAAATTATTGGGAGAAAAGCAAGTTATGCTATTGACTATATATGTGTGAGCTTATATAACCATACAGAGAAGGTAACTGTTACCCTGAAGCTTCATCTAAAAGTGAACTTTTAAAATGTCATGGCCTAAGAGGGAATGCTGAAAAATTGTGCACCAGATCTCTAAGTGGGGGGAAAAACCAAACACATTTGCCAGGGCAATCTGAGTGAGTTTGTTTGAAGAAAGTGGATCAGGTTTCAGGAAGGCTGTAGTTTGGTGGGACACCTGGAGCTCAGGACTGCAAGCTAGCGGTCAAGCTTCTACTGGACAAACACAGAACTCTGAAGCACAACAACTCTGCCTGCCTGCTGCATCACTCATTGCTAACAAAGCAGCCACTTTTGCAGAGCACTAGCAAGAAGTCATCCACTATATGCAACCAACACACGTTTAGCTTGAGCCATCTCAGTTTCCATAGAGGAGTTGCTGGCAGGGTTTCTCTGTGTGAACTCTTTTACCTTGGAGCTTACTCTTTCCTTTGGCTTACATCATGGCAAGCTAGTAATCAGTGAAATAGTTAATGTCCTACCTGTCTATTTTCCCAGGGCCTTAGAGGACATGGAGGTTGAGTATCTACAAGAAGTACTGGTTATTTTTAAGATCTGATCTTTGGGTTGGTTAATCTCGGCTTCATGGGCGCGGACATGCTGCTGGATTTGTAATTGGTTTGCATGGAACTTTTTATTGTTTATCCAAAGCACCTAGATCTTGGGCTAGATGCTTTTTATTTGTAGGTAAGTTAAAATAAGTATGACAAAACATAATGTGTTCCGTTAAACCTTTTGTTTAGGGGGGGAAATCAGTTACATAGGCAATGATACATGCGGAAAAATACTTAACTGTACTTAAGTGTAAAACAAAATATCATGGGCTGTGATTTACAAAATGTATCCCTAAAGCGAGGCTCACAAAATCCACATTTATATGCTTGAGTAAGTGGCTTGATTGTCAGAAGTGCAGTCCCTAAGGTCTTCTCAGTTTACAAAAAATCATCTCTCATGTGAGCGCACACATTATTTTCTTAGGCTCTGATCTTGCCCTCACTTGCACATGTGAGTATCTTGATACACAGAAATGGTCCCATTCAACTCAGTCACAAACTTGAGGGTTTGCAGGATCTAGCTCTTATTTGGCTCACAGGAAAATACAATTAGATTCTAAACCGACATGGCCAGATTCTGACACCCTTACTCTGAATTCTCCCATTGCAGTCAATGAGTACTTGTTGTGTAAGATGCTACTCAGCAGGAATAAATGTGCCAAATTCTGGCCCACAATGAACAGAGCTTATCATGAGAAAAGACCAAAAAATCCGCAAAACATTCTCACCAGCATTTACAAACTTTGAGGTCTTTCTTCCCCATGATAAAGGTTTTTTTTAAAGCCTAATCCCACAGTCGGTGAAAATGGAGTCAACCATCTAGGACCCTGCTCCTGAACCATTAAAGTCAGTGGGAACTTTTCCATTGACTTCAATGAGAGTAGGCTCAAGCCATAGTTGTTCAAACAAATCACCTGCTCACCTATTGGCTATCACTAAACTCAAAGCTCATAGCCTTCCCATGTAAATGTCATGGCTCCCTGAAAAGAACGAAGTAGAAAGTTCAGCCTTTTGAAAATACTTCTTTCAGTCCGAAGCAAAAATAGATCCTGGATTGCAAAAATCGTTTTTACTGAGGTCAATAATTTCAGTATAAATATTTCATACTCTGAAGCTGCAAAATAGTGACTGATGCTGCTTGGTAGGGTTTCTGAATTAGTAAACTGAGGAGTTAAGTACACACGAAACAACAAACATTAATGGATTTTATTTATGTAAGCTATTTTGCCAGTTTCCTCTTTAGTCTTCAAATCATCTTTATAATGCAATAAAGTGTGCATTTAAGTGATGTGAAATTAACTTTGGAGGGTCAAAAAATAGCTAAATACATTTAGCGAGTTTCAGACCTTATATTGCCTGGAAACAAGTAACACTATGGACTTCCTCAAAATTATGTAGGTAAATGCCTTATCTTTTTCCAGAGCACAATGAAGATTTTCCTATTGCTGGTAGGATACACTTACTGCAAGGAAAAAAGATAGAAGAAACCACATGTCAGGTAAAAGAAATATGTTATCCATTCAGCATCTAATACTCTGTCCACAGAAGTAGCATATTTCCTATATCTATTTGATTTTATAATTGATGTGCATCTGTATTTGGGAAGTAGAATTTCAAGGAAGAATCAGATGATGATTTGTGTTACATACCACTTTCATTATGCAAACCATATGCATTTTAATGCTTTACAGACTTGTTTTTCAAAGTGACTAGGTATCTGTTAAATTAGTACATTGGAATTTTATCTGACAAGACCTATGCTAAGTGCTTAGAACAATCTGGTACTCTCCACATTGGTGTATGAATCCTAATGCTTTCTGAATTTATATAAACATGTACTGTCTCTCCTGACACTCCTCTTCATAAGACTACATTAATTAGCCCACTAGTATGAGCAATTAAGGAAGTCTGACCCTTGGGCCTGCATAATAATAACATAAAAGTAGTTAATGACCTGTCATCAGCTGGTGCAAGGTGAGAAGCAGAGTAGCACAGGAGGAATAAGTGTAGCTAGTGTTGGCTCAGGAGTCACAAGAACATTTTTTCCCCCACTTTTATTTCACTTCCAACCAAGAATTTCCCTTCCACTGTTTTCACTTAAAGGGCCAGATCCTCATTAGATGTACATTGGCTTAGCTCCCTTGACTTCAATGGAATTACGCCAGCTTGCACAAGCTTGAGGATCTGGCCCAAAATATTCCAAAGCATGTAACATAAGCAAGAACTTACAAACCTGTGATTTCAGTAGATTTCTTTTTTCATCACTGTATTGCATCTGAATGCCAACAATAAACACTGGAAGGCTCCTACGTGAGCTTTCTCCACTGTGAGTAAACCCTACAAGGAACAGTCCTGTTGGTTCTGGAATGCTACTCTTAAAAGGAACGAGCATCCTAGTTGCAATCTCCCACCCTGAGGGCAGCGGGGAAGGTACAAAGAGCAGGTCAGATATCACAGAGCACGTGCTCTGCTCAGCTCCCATGGTAGATCAGAGATGACACATTACAGTGAGTAGAAGTCAAGGTGTCCATGGGAAGGAGAGGGAGATGGGTGACTGGAAAACTGCTTTGGTCCTGGCTTCAGAGCCCCTTCTGTGGCAATATTGTTGGCAGAGGGAGTGGGTCTTTATTCCAGCAGCTCCCACAAAAAGCAGGTATGGAGGGTGAGGGGATTGGCTCCTTTCCCCCTTAGTTTCTCTCTTGGCTTCCTGTTCTCTTCCTCCCTCTCTTGCTGCTAAGTATTAGGAAGCTTCCCTGGTCTCTGCTATCCCTCATCAGTGCCCCAGGATTTGGGGTGTGCTCCACAATTCTCCCTCTCCTCTTGTTCCCATCAGTTTGTGGGATCTATGGTGCTGTTTCCCTACCGCAGAGGAGCAGCCACAGGGGTGTCTCTTGTTTCTTCGTAACAGCCGTGTTAGTCTGTATTCGCAAAAAGAAAAGGAGTACTTGTGGCACCTTAGAGACTAACCAATTTATTTGAGCATAAGCTTTCGTGAGCTACAGCTTATGCTCAAATAAATTGGTTAGTCTCTAAGGTGCCACAAGTACTCCTTTTCTTGTTTCTTCCTGGATGGATTCCTAGGGGCTCCTTCTCAGGCATCAGAACAAGAGAAAAGGTTTATTTTTGCTTTGAGCCCAGGAGTCTCCTCGAGGTCTTTGAAACACCACAAAAAACTCTGGCCAACTACTTTAAAAATAACCTCTAATTGGTCTGCCTCCATTTTTGTTTTGATCTCTCAAAGGAAGCTGGAGGGGCTGAGCACCTCTAAGTTTTGATGCTAGTTTGAGACCTGCAAGATGTGATTTTTTTTCCAGAGGCTGATTTTGAAAATATTGGCCTTTTTATGGATTTCTTTTAGAAGAACACTTTTAGTGGACGCTTATTACCCCTGCCATCTGTGAGAGTGAGTGAGGCTCAGGGTAAAATTGATGTAATTGCCTTTTTAGGTCTCTGAAATGTTGTTCTCATAATTTTTCACTTCCACTTTCTGTCCAGGACCTGAACTGGAAGAGCCCAACATTGTGGGAATGGTGAATGGAATAAGCAAACATTTTATTATTTCTCTCTCAACTTTAAAAATAATCTAATGAACTTCTCTGAATGCTTTTAAAACTTAAACCCCTCCTCAGCATACAGCTTAATGCCTGATTTTATTCCAGGACTACATGTAAAGCCCTGAAAAAAGTGGCTTGCAAGGGAAATACAGTTTGAGGCTGAGCAGCATGAATGGCCCTGCAATAATTATAGCTTACTATAAAGAGTATCTCATGGAAGCTTTACTCTCAGCACTTATTTTCATATCCTTATACTTGTTTGTTCTTCTCTGGCAGCACTCACTTGGTGGCTCAAAGTGGTTGTAGCATATTGGGAAGGATATAAAATATGAAGTAATAGTCTTTGGGCTAATACATTTTCAAAAATGTTTCATGCCTCATTTCTCACATAAATTCTTAGGTTGCATTCAACCTTCAAAATGTCATTCATATTCATGAAGAAAAGAAGGCTAGCATTCATTACTTTCACTGATAAGCTATAAGAACTGTCAGGCTTGCCCACCAGGGACTGCATCAGTGTTTTCTCCATGATGTTCCTATCATGGGAACATTATGACCAGAGGAATCATTTATGAACACATGATAAAAGCATGTGGTCTGTTCTTTTCTTACTTCATAGACCTCTGAGAATCCTTCTACTCCTTCTGCATTTTTAACCCTATTCAAACTCACACCCTCAAGGTTCTTCATTCTCACCCACTAGTCTTCCAGCTAAGGAGGCCTGACTGAGACACTCTTTGGGAATCTATTCGTCCCATTCCTACATCAGCTGGAGGAGTCATTGTTGAGAATAGTCTGGTGCTCTGTAGCATTCCCAACCCCTAACAGTCTGGAGAGTGGAGAATCAAGACCCGAGCATTCCAGCTGGCAATGTACAGCTCCGTCACTAGGTCAGTGGGCTAACCCCAGATTTGCTCATATATGCAATGATGCACCCAACATGTGATCGGCAGAAAGGGAAAATACTCTTAGTTCTGAGACAATCGATGAAATAAACACAACGCCAAATTGCCTTCTGACAGATCCAAAATGCTGAAGTGTCAGGATACAGTGTTTATACACACACAGTACAGATTGGAGAGCTTGCATAGCTCTCACCGTTGTGTTTTACAACACTTGCTGTTACATTCATGTTTTTTTCATATACTATCTATTGGGTTTTTTTCCCTTATGGTTAAGGTGATGACTTATGAACAGTGGATCCCACCTCGAGTTCACGGTCTGACTGAGCCCAGTAACAGTGAAATGGTGAGTTGTGATGAGAACTTTTGTATTTTTCCTCAGATGTGAGTGTTCTGCAAGAGTGGATAGGTTGACTATGATTTCTTTCACTGGATTTCTGATCCCAAAATTTTGAAAGCCCTCATTCCAGATCTACAGTATTAGTGACAGTCATTATATCCTTTATGGAAACAGAATTTCTAATTCCTGTTAGGTGTTCTTTCCTCATGGAAGCACACATCTGTTGCTCCCACCATCAGCACTGCTTAGTTGGGCCAAATGGTAGGTTGAGGCTCAGGATTAAAATAGCAAGGTTGCTGAAAGGTCAGGGTTGAGTTTCATGAGCAGGTATGTGTGAAAGAATGTTTCTCAGTACTGCCTGCATCATTGCCATAGTAACTTTCCTGAGCACTAAATTAACCCAATTTTCTTGATTTAAAAAATCAACATGTTTTGCGAATCAGTTCGACCATACAAATGCAGCAGCAAATGTTTTACCACAGCATAGAATTCATGTATTTATAGCCCATCTAGAAATGATATTGGAAACTACCAATACCTTCCAAAGAAATATTATAAAAATATTTCTCATAGTAAGATGATGATAATACTACAGACAGGAAGATAGGTTTATTCAGTCTCGTTATGTTTAGTTTGCATTTTTGCAAGGCTAATAACTGCTATGTAGTTGCATAGTTATTTGGGACCTGCAAACTAGTTTAGAAAATAATCACACAGGCCAGATTCTGCCATGCTTATTCATGCTGAGAAGTACCATGCTTCACAAGTAATCTGACTGAAACCAACATAGCTTCTCCCCAAATTAGGCGTTACTAAGAGTGAGTGAGGGTGTTAGGATCTGGCTGATAGTGCTGTTCACTTTTAATTCAAAATGCTGTTATATCACCAAATTAATCCTCCCAACAGCTCTGGGAGTAGAGCTGTCCACTGTATTTGTTGGGAATAATTTATTGTGCCAAATGTAGCCCTCTTTTCTGTTCACACATGTTTCATGAATAGACTTTTTAATGTTTCTAAATTTGTTATTCATTAGTGTTCAAACTGTGTATGCAAGTAAAATTCAGCTAATGGGTGGGTTGTTTACTTAGACTATTCATTACTTGTTATTTGTGGTGTGTGATTGCTCACCTAAATGACATAGTATTTCTGCATGACTAAAACTTGTTAAACTGGAGATTAATGAATATGCGTGTGTGCATAAAGGCTCTTTCTCAGAGGTATTTTTGGTGGGGAGAAAAAGCCATTCCCCAATGTTTGTGCGAACAAATACTCACCCTGAGGCACATTTGGGAATGGTGACTAGAAGGAGTCCCAAACGTGGTTGAAGTGAACAGCTGTTTGGAATTCAAACATCTGATTATGAACACTGTTTTTCAGTACTCACCCAGTGCTCTCTGTTAACTATTATCCTCATTTTAGGGAGGGAAAATGGAGAAAAGAGACTTCCTCAAGATCAGGTTGCATTATCATCAAAGCCAGTAGAATAAGTAGTTCTTGTCTCAGCAATCCTGAGCTGAGACTGCCTGGGGTGCTGATTCTTACTTAAAATAAGTACCCAGTAGAATCTTTGCCTTATACTGGAATCAAAACTTCAACATTTTTTTCACACCTTTACTTGGTGGTGGTGGCTGAGTGTTACAATGAAATTATAAAAAAACAGCCATGAGACTGCTGGTCTTGTATATTTGCCCACTCATCTGGAACAAGTAAGAACTAGAAATCTTACAGTATAGCCAACTCTCGTGAGATTCAGAGCTTCGGCAGCATAGTTAACTCCCGGTATAACTTGAGATTTACTCCTCACCCAACACCTGAGCACACGCAATAATCTCTAGCTTGAGTAAAGATCAAGCTAGCTGGTCCATCAGGGTGATGGGTTGGAGCTTGAATGCTGCCAAGATTCAAGCTAGTAATGCGGTAGGGACTCAACTTCAGTGTAATTTCGAGACTGAGACAATTCAGCTATGTGAGGATAAGCAGCCAAACATTTGGATTTGGATGCTTAGTCAAAGCAAAACTCCAGATCTTCTAAAGGCTCCCCTGCCACTAATAGATATTACAAGGTTATCTGTGTCCATACGAGATAGCTATTTTGTTTATTATTACTTTTAACTAACATTAGACACTCCCCAATAAGTGCTTTTTAAAAAACAAAAGAGGATTGCACTTTATCCATTAGTAAAATTATCTGAGTAGATTATGTGCCATTTTATCTTGCTGTCCCCTAAACACAAATCCCAGATCAGAACCCCAGATCAAAAATCCATGGGCCCGATTCTGCACTGCCCTTGCATCCGATGAAGTGAGCTGTAGCTCACGAAAGCTCATGCTCAAATAAATTGGTTAGTCTCTAAGGTGCCACAAGTACTCCTTTTCTTTTTGCCCTTGTGTAGTCATTGACACCTGTGCAAAGTGAGTGCTTATCAGAGTTCTCCACTCATACACCAGTGTTAACACTCCCTCTGGCACATCCTTTGCAAAATAGATTCATGAGGTCCCAGACAGCGAGAGAATTAAATTCCATATTTCTACACTGTTGTGAACCAGGACCTGAATCTGAACATACTTGAGCTGTGGGGGCTTTGAAATCTGACTCAGAACTTGCCAAGTGTTTGAATTCGGCAAAAGACTTGCACTGAGAACTCAGGTCCAAAGTCTTTGACTTCTCACTGTATTTATCATGAGAGGCTCTAGGGCTGGGTTCTCAGCTGGAGTAAGCCAGCATAGTTCCACTGAAGTCCAGTGCTAGGGAGCTGGCTTCTAATGCCTAAATTATATAGAATGTACAAATACTGAAACTCTTTTAATCTTTCAGACAGTGTTCTGATGAAATGTTTCTCTGAGTTATCCTTGGTTCAACACAATTTCTACTATTCTATTACATCTCAAGAGCCTATTTAGTCTATAACTTTTTCTCCATTATATTTTTCAGTCCTTTAGCCCTGGCCATTTCTTATAAACTCCATGCAACTTGTGCACTGCAAGAGCTATAGTTTAGGTTGCAAATCAACTCTGATTAGAACTTGCTTGGGATTTAGTACTTTGTGGGTTTGCCAATGGCCACTATTTTCCAGCAGTGAAACAAAGTCACAATGCAGTACCTTCCTTAAAAACACCACTTGCCTTTCTGCTGTACATATACTGAGTGTTTATTTCTGCTTGCAGCACTTTCAGGGCTCAACACACCAATATCTGAACTGCTGACATCCAAAGTGTGGAAATCTCTATTGACAAGCATTGTTAGGTTGATCTATTGAGCAGTATTTTTGAAATCGGAAATGAGTGTGTGTTGTGCCTCCTTTATGATGGATATTGTTGGATGCTACTCTGTACCGTGTGGATGCTTGTGCTGCATAAGTGCCTCATCCTACATTCCTTGCACCAAAGTGAGAGCTGAAGGCATGCCAAATCTCTCAAATTCAGTTTTTAAGTAACCTTAATTAGACTGTGTGCATTAATTAGACTGTGCTGGCAGAAATGATGCAGACCCGACCTCCTCTTCTGTCTTTGTCTTGGCGTGGAGGATTATGCATATGAGGAAGCAGGAAGGAACTTTGATGTGTGACTTAACTGGTGGGGAGAGTTCAGTAAGGTCTGTGAATTACTTGCTGATAACATCAGCATCGGCAATTAATCATTTGTAATATTATGGAAGAGGTGTTGATATATTAGACTAAATTCTCTGCTGGTGTAAATGGGAGGCACTCCACTGAAGTCCATGGAGCTAGATCCATTTACACCAGCAGAGAATGTGCATTTAATTAGAAGATCATAGTTAGCTTTGTGCCAAAAATCCACCATTGTAAAACACAACCATTTGCAGTTTTACTCCTTTTAGTTATTTGTTTGCTGGTTCCCACTGGAAGGCAGTTACCACAGGTGCCATTTGACCATGGGAACAGCTCGCTTGCTACTGAAATAGAGAATTTCTGCACCCAACTCCAAAGAGAAAGTCAATGTTGCAGCTGGGACTAGAACTCAGGAGTTCCTGGCTCTCTATATGCCCTATGTTTGATCCACTCTATGACTGCATTATATAATAATATAGCCATTTATATTCATAAATACTGTTTAAATCCAAACTCTCTAATAGTTACACACATAGAGATGTTACTCAATACTAGAAGCCTTTGGAACCCAAACTCCAAACTTCTGGAGGATTGTTTGTACCTAATAGGGTATTGTAATTGTTTTGTGGTGATGGAAAATGCCCAATAAAAGTCTTATTGTCTGGATGATTTGAATTTAAGCTAGGAAGAGAAGAAAGGCTCCACTTTAGGGAAACGTCCCTATTCAGGAAAGCACTTAAGCACAAGTCCAATGGCTCAACAGAGTTGAGATGTAAGCACATGTTAAAAGTTGAGCACATGTTTAAGTGCTGCCCTGAATAGGGAAGGATTTTAAGCCCATCCTTACATGCTTGCTTGAATTGTGGTTTCAAAAGCAAGTGCTTTTGCCTGGTGATATTCATCAGTTTTGTGGAGGTTTCCACACCCGTCGGTATCATCACATGTAATTTAAGGGCTCTGATATATGGGATCCACAAAGGTGAGCAGCACGCGCACGAATCTAGGGCTGATGGGTCTCCTGGCTTTCCTGTGAAGTTTTTTCTTGGGTTGCCCTCTTGTCATCACATATGTGACCTCAAACGTGCCACTGGAGACTCGCCTTCCAAAGCCATTGCGGAGATGATTAATCCTCATCTTGTTCACTGATCCAAAGTGCTTGACTATGATGCTGAACTTCCTTGCTTCTCAAAATAAACAATAGACCACCTGTGTAGTACATTATAATGTTTATTACTTATTCTCATTTTTATTTTGTGTTTCAATTAGGTTCCAGAATCAGATGATTATAAAGCTGAATCAATGGGAACATTAAAACGATTGCAGAAATTGGTCCGAACCAAGAAAGCCAGTATACATAGTATGGATGATGTCAAACATGTTTTGATACCTCTTAGTAAGTAAAGAACCATTTTAGTGTACTTGCATACATTTGGAAAATGTCACTTTACTGAAGAAAGCAATAAATTATCTTTCTTTGATCTATTTTTGAGTGCTTTCAGCAGATCACTGATCAGATTGTGTGGCCGTTCTTTGTCTAAAGTGAAAGCATTAGCATAGACCTATGGTGCATTTATGGATATGTCATTCAAAGTCTAGATGCTCTGTATCACACCTTAGATGCCATACCAAATGTCACTGCACTGCTATGATATCATAACAAAGGTGATACGTGGAACGTTATTTCCCATTGCATCTGTTTATATTTAGTAATAAATACTGTTTCCTGCAACTGAAGAGGGGTTGTGGGGGTTATCCTAAATAGCTGAGTAGAACACCCAGCTTGGGGCCATTGTGTTTTTTATGAAGTTTCACAGCTTTATCTCACATTTACATGAAGAAGGCAAAATGCACAGAAGAAAAGATGACGTTTATCAGTCCTTGAGTCAATGGCAGTCGGAGGTGCCAGAGAACACAACAATCTGTGGCACAAGAAGTAGGTTATTGTTGCAACACACCTGATTGCATCCCAATCCCAAACTTTGTATCCCAAAGTTGATGCCAAGCAGGTTTTCTAAAGCTGATGCTGAACCCAGGTTATTTTCAAGTGCTTTCACAAGATCACTGATCAGATTGTGTAGCTGTTCTTTGTCTAAAGTGCAAGCATCGGTGTGGACATATGGTGCATTTATGTATAGGATTATTTTGAAACTAATCCCAGCAAAATGAATTGAGACCATTTAATGAACTGCTGCCCCAGCTGAATCAGTGATGCTGTAAAACCACATGAGGAAATTCAGGGTTCAGCAGCTACTCTGAGATTTCCATGCATAGCCTATGAGTAGGTGAATTATTCAGGAAAATATTCCGGTCTCTGTCAATTTGTCTCCTAAACCAAACTCACACATTGTGTGAGTATTGCATCATAATGATGTTTGTGTAATGAAGTCACCATATTCAATGCAGAAATTACCATTATAATGGCCCTCTGGAACCAGCAAAATTCTCCAGGCTTCTGAGGGAGCAGCAAGACATTTTATCAAATGGAAAATAAATCCTGCTTTGGACAGAGTCATTAACCTATTAATCAGTCTTTTCCATCTCTCTAATTGCCGTTATTCTTTGAGTTTACAGAGTTTTTGATTGCTTTCAGTATATATAACTCATTGGGCAGCATTTCAAATGGGAGCAAATACTCTGACTGCAAATGCAACAGGTTGTAAAAAGAAAATCTTTTACATTTTTAAAGATCCACCTCAAGACTCCTGTCTCTCTGAAGAGGAGGAGGAAGCACTGATTTCCTGCATGAAACTAACCAAGTCCCAGGAAAAGAAGGTCTGGAAAGACAATGCTAGGCGAAAGGAAGAAACTGATACTAAAGCAGATTTTATTTCTGCTTCTTTGGGAAGATCTTATACTTCCAGATTGAGCAATACAGGAAATATTTCCATCCATTCAGAAACTGAATTTCAGCTATGGAGTGACTGGAAGCCCTTTCCCAATAATCAGCTCTGCCCATGTGATTTCGTGATCTCAAAAATAGAAAAGTGGGAAAATTGTACTTGTTGTTCTCATCATCCGCATCTTACTTGCTCCGTCACTGATGTGGATCTTCCATATTCATGGGTAAGTGGTTTCCTTTACAATTAAATATGTCAGCAGTGGAAACTTATTGAACATCAATTTGAGAGTCGCTTGAATTTAGCACATAGTTATCAAAAGCGAAATAATGAGGGGGGAAATTCAAAAGGTCAAATTCAGATCTGATGTGAACAGATGAACTCCATTTGAGTTGCATCCACTTACACCAAGTTTGGATTTGGTCCAGGATATACAACTTGCAACAACATAAATACCAGTGGTGTAGTGTTTGAATATTTTACACCACCATGTGATCTACCAGGGTGTTTAAACTTAGGATCTTTCTATATGTCTGTACAACAGTATATTGGATTCTTCAGACATTCTCATACGGCGTGATCCAAAGCCCACTGAAGTCAATGGGAGCCTTTCTATTGACTTAATGGGCTTTGGGTCAGGCCTTTAGCAGTCACTGTAATGAGCTCCAGAATTCTATCCAGAGGACTATCAGCAAGCGGTGCAATTGCCAGCGGTCATGTTTGTGCCCTTTGTATCAGGAGGGACCTGATTTTGAGGAAACTTTTGTGGCTCTCAGGGATTCATGCAGCCAATGCTAGAGATGCAGAGTTTGATCTCCATTTGGAATAAGCTTTTTTTTAAAAAAGATTGTTTTAAGGGTTGTTTAAGGCTGCAAAGGCCCAGAGTGTGCCTGTATTGCACGGGGATGGAATGGTGCAGGGAGCCTTCCCTTCCCTTCACTGCTCAAATTTCAGCACCTGCACTTTCCACAGAGCAGGGATTGTTCCCTGCTAGCATCTACTGAGCTACTAGTTGCTGGAAGAGCTGCTGGGAAGAACCAGACGGTGGCCTTTAACCCTCACTGCACCATGCCCATTTACTCATATTGTACTCGGGGTAGAGTCTGGTTCTCAATGTGCAGTGAACACAGCCCTGCGGGAGCAGAGGCTGCTGCTGCCATCCGCTGATGCAGTGGCCAGAGGGACACCCAGGTAACTGAAATGTTAGATCAAAGACTTCAGCCTTGTTTTGGATTATATTGAAGACAATGTGAGGTTTTCTTTAATACATTTTTTGTTGGGAATGCTGTAGACATGCCTCACTTAATATGAACATACCTGGAAACATCGGTGTCCTTTCAAAAAATTCTGTCTAGCTTTTCACACAAACACTGTGGTGGTGGTGGTATTCTTTACCCCAGTGAGATTCGTTCAGCCAGGGTCAAGGTCAAGTGCCAGCAAAAGTTGTTTTTGATTTCAGTTTTTGCGGGGGGGTTGTTATTGAGCCATCTGCTTTCTTAATTAATAGTTTTCTCCTTGATTTTAATTTATCTTTGTGGGCTTAGACTCTTTAGATTCAGATTATAGAAGAGAGTGAGACATCTCATTCTCTCCATCTGCATCCTACCAACTGGCTCAGAAAAAGATTACAAGGATTAGATTTTCGGTTTTGCTTTTCAAGAATTAATAGACTCCAGGAGTGGCTGTTTTGCATGTGAAGGGATCAGATTTAGGGGATGATGTGGAGGGCAATTTTGATGTTGATTTATCTATAACAGTAAAAATAGTGTATTTGAAAATATTGCCTTCAACCCAACTTATAGTTAAGGAGTTTTTATTTTATTGGCTTGGCTTGGCTAATATTCTCCGGCCTTTGGTCAAGTGTGAGGTGGAACAGACAGACTGAAGTAATTGTAGTCCTAAAATAGATGTGGTTGTGCCCTGCTTTAATGGGGCAAGAGGAGGGGAAGGGGAACACTCTACATGCAAGACTAAGTTTCCAGGACTCGTTTCAAATAGACATGCTGTCTCTGATCTAGTTTGGGGACAGGAGAGCACCTACATTTTAGGTTGGATGCAGTGTCATCCAACAACTCCTTGGATATGTATGCAAACTTGGGGACCTCAGCTTTACTTAAATCATGAATGGTTGGTGCCTAATTAAATAGTGGCCTTATTAGTCAGCATGAAAGACAGACATGAATCTCAATCTGACACCCTGCCTTCCTGAGAGATAATGAACAAAAAAACCGAGTGGAACCAAGACTAACTCACTCCAGGTCTTCTCTTCTGAGTACTTCTCCTGCATTGTCTCTTCCTACCCACTACCTCAAGTTTCAAAACTAAGTGCCCCTCTTCCCAATTCTTCTCATCCCCAATGCATGGCAACATTATTGTATCTTCTCAGCCATTTTAAGATGGCCTTCAAAGTGCTACAACTAGGTGCCAGAATAAGCAACTCTAGGACTGACTGCAAAGGGTACTCATCTGCTGTCACAGCAAATCTGTACCTCACTGACCCATTCTATCCACTGAGTTCTCTCACAACCACTAAATCATAGAGAAACCCCAACCACATGGAACCCCTCAAACTCCTCTAGCTAAACTTTCCCCTGCCCTTCCTAATTCAATCCATAGTAGAAGCATGCCTTCCTCCAGTTCTTTCCTCTGTGGGTGTCAGAGAGAGAGAGAGAGAACTAGGATCTCATGTACTGTCTCCAGCTTTATTATTATATGAAGCCTTATGGAGGCTTATTATGTAGCATCAGAGCACTTTCAGATTTCAGTTCTGTAACAACGTAATATACAACCACATGGATGAATAGCTTCATTATCAGTCTATAGCTAAAGCACCATCTGTGCCTCTTCCACATGAATTAACTTAGACACAAAGTGTTTTTCTGCATTGTTTACCCATTGAAAATATAATGGGAAATAGAGCAAAATTTTGCTGGGGAAAACACATCACCTTTGTAGCTTTTTGGAATCTCAGATGGTTTCTGTGTGCAATTATTGATATCAGCATGCGTCCCTGGAAAGATTCTATTCATAGAATCTATTATTCCTTCCTCCTTAAGCAAAAGTATAGTATATTGCAAAAATTAAAAGGTACCTATAGACACAGAAACTACTTTACTGCACGCAACACTACTTCAAAGTGTGTCGAGTACAGAAATGACTGTTACAGCCCAGTGTTAAACACTGTAATGTTAAGTATCAGCTGAAAAACAGGGTGGAAAAATGATCAGATGCCGGTTTAATAAGCACTTGACCTTTACGAGGGTGCTGGTTCCTTTTTTTTTTGGTCTCTCGCTCTTTCTCAAGCGATTCCACCAGGAAAAGACTATGTCAATTGTTTGTGGCTTAGATTTTTCTGAACACTTTGTGAATTACTAGAAACTCTTCTTGTGCTATTTATAATTTTGAAATCTTGCTCTCCAGACAGGGCAATAGTGTATTTAGAAGTGTCACGTCCGGAAAGCAGTGATCATAGCACTAGGGCTAACCTCCAGTTGTTAAAAAAAACAAAAGTTTTTTTGTTTGGTATTTTTTAACATAGTCCCATACACTGTATTCAGTACAGGATAAAATAATTGCTTTACAAAATATGTTATACTATTTATTTATAGAAGTATTTTGATCTTGGACTTGGACAAAACAGTAGCCCAGGTATTTCTTTGAAGTATATCCTTCTAATGTCACACTTGCGCTACTAATATATTCTTGTATGGGTAACCTTTATAAGATACTGTAATGGACCATCATGTGGGGTGCTATCATGAGTATTGTGGTATACCAAAAGTTTTCAGACAGCTGTGTGGCTAGCCTACTGTGACCGGGTCCCTGGGGTGAAACCTGGACTGTGGGACTGCTGAGCCCTCTATCCCACCAGCCTGGGCTGGCCCTCACACTGTGATGCTGATGTCAAGTTACAAGCCTCTGGCAGGCACTGCACTTACACAGCCATCCACAGGCAGGGACATACCCTACTATGTTACATGAATGATCTCCCAGCCACTCATGAACCAACAATAAAGAGACGCCAGGCAATCCCCCTCACTCCTCAGTCCCGCACTCCAGAACTGTATCATCTTGCACTGGTCAGAAGCCTGGCCAGTATAAGTTCATTACCCAGTCTGCCCCTCCCTCAATATGGAGAGGACACACACTAGCCTTTGTAAACTGAGCTGAGATTTCCCATGCACTTCAACCAAAAGACACTGTTTTAGGTAAAATATAAAACAGATTTATTAACTACAGAAAGATAGATTTTAAGTGATTATAAGTGGTAGGCTTAAAGGTCAAAGTTAGTTACCTTAGGAAATAAAAATAGAAACATGCATTCTAAATCCTAAACTCTTAGTCTAAGCAAGAGTTGAATTATACAGCTTTTCTCACCCTGACAGATGGTACAAGCAGGTTACAGTTTCTCAATACACAGACTGGGACTCTTTTCCAGCCTGGGACCAAACTTAGATATTGTTACTATTTTATTATACTATTTACTATTTTATTATATGATTAACTTGAAGGGAAGCTTCTTCATATACTTTCCCCTTATACTATAGACTAAGTTTCTCAAAGTTTGAGGCTGCTTTCCCTCCTGTGCACCCCTGGCAACCTCTGGCCTTTCTTCTCCCACGACCAGTTCTACTGGTCACCACGGCCACTTTCCAGCATCTGTCCTGAGCCTTTGTTAGCAATACTATGTAGTTGCACAGCTGTTTCTCTGCTGACCTGCTTTCCTTCTCAGCCCTGCTCACAGCCACTACCTTGGCCTAGCTCTCCCAGTCTTCAGCTGCCATCATGCTTTTCTTCCTGGCTTCCCTCCCCTCTCTCTCTCCCCCCCCGCCCAACACACACAAACACACACACACACACTCACACACACTGCCTGCAGCAAGTTCTTGGCTGCTTCCTCCAGTTTTCTACTCACATTCTGGCATTGTCCCCTGTCTGTCACTGTTGTCCCTGATGCAAAACCTGTTTATGTATCACTACTGCTACAAGGACCAGTGTCTCCCACAACACACCTTTCAAGATCCATGGGTCCTACACAAACCTATCACAACATCTGATGTACTAAATGCCCCAATAACAACTATGTGGGTGAAACCAGACAATCACTACACTCTCAAATGAACTCTCACAGAAAAATGATAAAAGGCAAAGACACCACATCACCTATGGGTGAAGACTTCACAAAGTGATCACTCTGCATCTGACTTCTCAGTCCTCATCCTCAAA